AAAAAAAAAAAATCTATGTGTGGTAGCACAGGAATCTCAGCACTGGAGAGACAAGGATAAGAGCATCAGAAGTTCAAGGCCAGCCTAGTCTATGTAGTACAGCTGAAAACTAACCTGAGCTACACAAAGCTCTACCTCTAAAACAAAAACAAACAAACAAAAAAAAAACAAAAAACAAAAAACAAAAAAATCAATCAATATATTTTTAAAACATAAAGGCAGAGGAATAAATCCACTCCATCCGTGTACTACTGCTATATACACTAAATGCATCTTTTCATCTAGAACATCAGCTCTGCAAAAGAAGTGGCAACACACCATTACTTTGTAAGTTCCCTTCTATGATGTAACACTGTGCAAGTCAGGAAGCCAAAACCACTCTCAGGTTATGTGAAGCAAACAGTCCTTTTGCCTCACTAAAGCCACAGCCTTCTTTTAAAAGTTGAGAACTATTTATTCAAATAGAGAGGAAATTAAGATACCCATGGGGGAGAGAGGGAGAGAGAGAGAGAGGTCCTCCTTTCATTACATACTTGCAGTGTTAAAAATTGGCCTGACCAGCGTTGTTACAGCTCTGTTCTGAAAAAGCACTGACAAATGAGGCTGGAGACATTGCCCAATACTGTTCTTTCAGATCCCAAATTCAGTATCCAGCACTCACAAAAACTGGTGTCCATGGGTACCTGAACTCACCTACACATACCCAGGCACAGTAAAAAAAATACCCGCCCCCTAATGTTAAGGAATACCTAAGATGGCTAGGCTATACAGCACTGAGTCCAGGGTGGCTTCATCATTTTACAAATCTGGTTCTGACTTTGTTTCTTATCTCAATAGTCTCTCAGTCTCTCTCTCTCTCTCTCTCTCTCTCTCTCTCTCTCTCTCTCTCTCTCTCTCCCTCACACACACACAAATTTTTTTTTTTTTTAGTTCTTCTAAATATTCACAAAAAGATGATTTTCTTTAATTTTCTTAGTTACTGTTGCTGGTGTCTGTATCGGGTTACAGGGAAGAGAGGCACCCACTGTCATCTGGTGGCACTAGGGCACAATGAGGATACACCTGATCTGTCCACTGCCATCCACAGTACATTTACACAACTATTTACATACCTATATCACTCTGATATAGCCTTTCAAATGAACTTAGACATTTCTAAACACTGTTTTATATTAATGGTCTACGTCAACCTACCAAGGTCAACCTCAGAATCTGAAGCCAATAATGCTGACTTTCCCAGGAGGAGGCATCTCCCCCCCCCATGCAGGGCTCTCACATCTGGAGGATTTCAGACTCAGTGTAGTCTTGCTGCTCAGGAGGGTGGGCAAAGGAGCCACTTCCTATGAAATCAAACTAAGGACCTCTAACACTTCTAAATATGGGAACAAGATAAGCATGAAGGCCCCAGCCACAGAGGAACTGTTTTACAACCCCAGGTCTTTTAGTAAAGAAGAGCAAAGTCACAGTGAGGAAGGGAAGCAACTGCCCATCACACTAGAACATGCTACCTTCCCAGCTCTACCAAGAAGACAAACGAAGTCCTGCACCAACAGATATGTATGGCATTGTCATCCAACCACCAATGTGGACTAAGATTCACATGCCACTTTTTCTCATTTATTTTACTTGATTCTGTGAGCATTGGTGTGGATCCCCTGGAACTGGAGCTACAGACAACTGTGGGTTACCATGTGGGTGCTGGGAATTAAACCCCAAAACCCCGTCCTCTGGAACAGTCAGTGCTAACAGCTAAGCCATCTCTCTCCAGCCTTGAATGCCACTTTCAGAGGCCAATAATGTTATAAAGAGATAAATCTGTCATCATCTTGATTTCATTTGCATATCCAATACCATCTTCACAAATCCACCTTGAAGGCACATAAACTGGTGTCCATGGGTACATAAGTTGCTTCCAACTTATCAATGGAAAGACTTGGAAGCTCAGTTACTTGTTCATGATTTAACACTGCTTCCCTTTGCAACTAACAATCTAAGCAATAGTGGAGAGGCTACCTTAAATGCCCTTCCCCCAGTGAGATTAACGACTACTTTATATGCCATTCTAGAACCTTCATCCAGTAGCTGAAGGAGGCAGAAGCAGACACCCACAGCTAAACACTGAGCGGAACTCCTGGAATCCAGTTGCAGACAGGGAGGAGGGATGAGCAAAGAAATCAAGACCAGGCTGGAGAAACCCACAGAGTCAGCTGATGGACCTCAGTCTGACAGCTGGGAAACCAGCATAAGACTGACCCAGACCCCCAGAGTGTGGGTGTCAGTTAGGAGGACTGGACAGTCTATGGGGCCTCTGGTAGTGGATCAGTATTTATCCCTAGTATATGAACGGACTTTGGGAGCCCATTCCACAAAGATGGATACTCTCTCAGCCTAGACACATAGGGGAGGGCCTAGGCCCTGCTGCAAATGATATGACAGACTTTGAAGATTCCCCCATAGAAGGGCTCACCCTCCCTTGGGAGCAGGAAGGGAATGGGATGGGGGTTGGGAAAGAGATGGGGAGAAGGGGAGGGTGAGGGAACTGGGATTGACATGTAAAACACGCTTGTTTCAAATTTAAATACAAAATTATAAAAGAGAGAAAAATCTGCAACTCATGTTACAGAATTTCACAGAAAATTCTGATTCAACAGCTTTCACACAGTAAATACCCTTCCTAAAAATTCAAATGAAACAAAACAAAAATCCCAAAATATATTAGTCGTATGCAATCCTTAAGGACTAGCCTCCATCTCTGAACTCAAACTGGAAGATGATTTGATCCTGTTTAACTGCATAAGGCAAATGGTAAATACTGAAACCAGCCTATTTACCTGCCTTAATCTAGTCAAATGTGATTGTGACTAGGAATAAAGACCTTTTGAAAAGGGGCACGGATGGCTGGGAAGGCTACCTTCTTGACATTTTTCCAAACAACTTTAGGGTTTTTACAATTCATATTCAAATAATTTAAAACGAAATTAATACTTAAATAATTTAAAGTTATTTAAAAATACAGTTTCAGCTAAACAACAATGCTATGGAATTTGGTAGCTCAGTCACATTAATCTAGTATAAATGTTTCTTACCCTGTGAATGGACCCAAAGCCTAATCACAGTTAAACCAACACAAGACAGGTTGGAGAGATAGCTCTGTGGTTAAAAGCACTGACCGTTCTTCCAGAGGACCTGGGGTTGATTTCCAGCGCCAACAAGACAGCTAACAAGCCAACAGAAGACACAAAACATACAACTAAAAGAGAAGAAACTGAAATGTGGAGGAATGCTCCCCAAGACAGATTATGACTACTACCATCTAAAAAGCAGCAAAGGCTTTGCAAATAAAAATTTATTTTATGAAGAGCTCAAGCTGGCTTAGCACTCAGGAGTCTAAAGCAGGAAAACTGCAACAAAGCCCCAGTCCTTGGACAGAGCAAAACATTATCTAAAAACAACAACAGGTGGGTGTGGTGGCACACACCTTAATCCCAGCACTTGGAGGTACTGCTGGGTCAGTCAGTCAGTCAGTCAGCATTCCCAGACCTTTTTGTTTGGGAATATGGTCTCACTATATTGCCCAGGTTGTTATCAAACTTGACATCCTCCTGCTTCAGATCCAAATGTCTGATGGGGGGACAACCTTGACCAGAATTCCAACTTTAGTGTAAAGGGGTTAAAACAGCACTAACAGCAGGGCTTGGTGGTAGTCAACTATGATCAGAGTGCTTAGGAGGTTTAAGCAAGCGACCTCCCAGGTCTAACCTGGCTGTAAGCCAGAGCTACAATGACAGGAAAAAACCAAAAGCACTTTTGAGCATTAACTCACCTCAAACCTCCCGATTTGAGCTTGTTGGAGTAGTAAACCATTCAAACCAGCTATACATGATAAACAGCCCCTGAGAAATCTGAGGCCTATGAAAATCAGCACTGTAAAGCAAGGTAGGGAGTTAATCCCGAACTCAGGTGTCAGGGCCAAGCGATCTGGGAGTTCAAGGCCAGCAAGACCAACAGAACGAGTTCTGGGTCAACCAGGGCTAAGAGAAACCCTATCTCAGATAACAAAAGCGGAAGGTGAGGAGATTGGGACTTTAAGACGGGATAGTTAATGCTGACATTTCAAGTATTACGTGACCTTGCTGGAAGATGCAATTAACTGGTTGCCCATTCTGGGTACAAGCAACTCCATGCGGTAAGAAAGCAAACGGGGGGAGGGCGGTGCACATTTATTTCACCCCTCAACAAAAATGCCTCAAAGAGCTAAGATGTACAACTCCAGCGCTGCCCCAGGCAAAGTTGGGACAAATGAAAGGTAAACACGTACCGCAAACGCGCAGCTGCTACTGAGGACAAGCCCGCGAGCCTGACCAACGCTGGGGAGGCCCTGAAGGGAAACGGTGAAGAACAAGACGGTTTCGAGAATAAGTAAGAGCGCATCTCTGGGCTGCACGCTGGCACTTTTCTATTTCTGACACCTGGGACCTCAGAGAAGCCGCCGGGTGACGCAAGCGGCATCTTAGCATATGGATGCAGCCGCACCCGAATCCCAGGGCGCCTAGCTCGGAGCTCGCGGGGGTTGCAGCCCGCCAAGTCGCGCCCTCCACCCGAGATTGCCCGAGCGCGAGGACCGAGGCGACTGCCAGAAGACAGGCTCCCGGCGCTGCTCCCGAAGGCACGAGCTGCAGTCCGAGGCGGCCCCATCCTCCCCACCTGTGCCCCGGGGGCCTACCTGAAGGCAGCGCCTCCCCCGCCTGACCGCACCGGCTGTCACCGTGGCGGCGTCCGGGCTCCAGACGCCAGTGACGCCTCATAAAAACAACAACCTGCTCGCGGGCGTCCGCAGCGGGGAAGCGGCGACTGGAGCGGCGCCGCGGGGCATGCCGAGACCTGTAGTTCCTCCTGAGCCTCCTGCCGGCCCGCGGCGGGGAAAAAGAACTACGATTCCCCGAGATCCGTGCGGCGCGCCCCACTGAGGTTGCCGGAAACTGGGCGGGGCGACCGCGGATCCCCACAACATCCGGGCTCCCACGCCTGTAACCCGTTGCCATGGAGATTGGCTGCCACACTGGAAGACAAGGTTTCCACCCACTCTCTCCCTCCCCAGATCTGGCAGTTTACGCGACACGGATCGTTCTGGCTTCGTCCTTGCTGCTGCTTCCCGTCGATTCAGTGAGAAGACCGGACCCTGCGCCCTCGCCAGACTTCTCGCCATCAGGAAAGAGCTGCTTTTGTGAAAGAGAGAAGATGGAGAGACAGATCGACTGCGACTTGGTGGGTTTGAGCAGAAGACTAGACGCTTTTGAAAGTCAAATTCTTTGACAGTATTTGAGGCACCATCTACTCCCACTCAACTCACTCAGTCACCAGACTTTTACGTTTACAAGTGTAAATGCACGATCCACTAAATAATTATTGCTCTGAAGGTGTAAAGGCGGCACCTCACTACAAACTGGTGATGGTTTTGACCAGGATGATTTTATTTTATGTTTGCACTCGTGGGGATCTCATCCAAGGCCTTGTGAATGGTAGGCAACCACTTTACTACAGAACTACACTTTCCAGTACCTTCATTCTGATGTCATTTATAGTATGCCTTGTCTAAAAGGATCGGGGAGGGGGAACACAGTGCACACACGCCAGAGGATCAATAACTTTCCCCTGTCCCATTCAAGCAGCTGATGCTAGGCAAAACTGGTTTCACGATTAGACTTACTAATTTGTGTTGCTGTAACCAGGAATTGAACATCAAGCCTCACACAAATTAGAAAAGCACTCTGCCAGGGACGTATATCCCTGATCCCTTGTTTTGGTTTGGGTGAGAGAGAAGTTTTGGGTGGTGTTTTTTGTTGTTTCAAGACAGAGTTTCTCTGACTATTCCAGGCTGACCTCACATTCTGTGTATCTGACATTGAACTCCAGAATCTTTTGCCTCTATTTCCTAAATATTGGGGTTACCCGGCCTATGCCACAGGCCCTGCCTGCTCTTAGAACTCCTTGAAGAGGCTAAAATTTCATTATAGTGAATGGGGTAATGTAGTAGTTACTTTGATTACCTATAAACATCTCCAATTACAATGGAGATCTAAAAGATGGAAGTCAATAGCATTGTCTCCTGATAGTAAATAAATCGTTCAGTGATTTGCATTATTTGAAGTGACTTCTAAAAAAATTACTAGATCTGGAACTGAAGTGATTAAGTCTTAGTGTCAGTAGTAGCAAAGGTGATTTGATGAAAACTGGAGTCCTCACTAACCAAAGTGGATAGTGGTAACCAAAGAAAGCCCATGATATGGCTAGGCATGGTGGCCCAGACCTGGAATCCCAGCACTGTGGAGGCTAACTGAGGCAGGAGAACTGCCAGCAGTTTGGGGCCAAGTAATTATTGGGACCTGCCTTAAAAAAACAGAAACATTTATTTAGCATTTTAATGTTTACATTTATATTCAGTTTTCCTTCAAGTGAGCCCAAAACCTGTGGTTTGGGTTTTGCTGGTGTTTTTAGCCATTTTTAAGTGGGTCACATCTAGATGGAAGTTTCTGCCTCACACCACACTCTTAGTATTCCAATTTCTAGATTTTTTTTCTTTCTGAGACAGGGCTTCCTGTATCCCAGAATGACCTCTATCCCCCTTTGTAACTTTGGGTGACCCTTCTGATCCTCTCTGGGATTATGGTATGAGCCATCATACCCACTTCATAGACCCCAGGGCTTCTTTGTATGTTTGTTAGGCAAGCACTCTACAAAGCCACATCCTCAGCCCCTAAAGTTTGGGGGTTTTTTTTTTTCTTTTGTTTTCCAATACAAGTTTATGTAGCCTTCCATAGCTGTCTAGAACTTGCTCTGTAGACCAGGCTGGCCTTGAACTCAGAGATCTGCCTGCCTCTGCCTTGGGATTAAAGGGTGTGGATGTGCCATACCATAGCCAACTCTGCCTTCTCAGGATCATTAAAGTAAGAAAAGCAGCCAGGAATAGTGGCTAACTCTTTAACCACTGTACCTCCTTAGAGAACATTAGTTCACAGTAGTAACCACACTATGCCACTGCCTCATTTTTAACCGTGTATGTTTATCAAATAAAAGAAGGCTATTCCAGGTAATGGTGGCGCACGCCTTTGATCTCAGCACTTGGGAAGCAGAGGCCAGCCTGGTCTACAGAGCCAGTTCCAGGACAGCCTCCAAAACTACTCAGAGAAACCCTGTCTCAAAAAACAAACAAAAAAGTTACGGAGCCAGCACAGGAATCTCATAGCCAAGCATGGTGGCACAAGTCTGCAGTGACAGCACTTAGGAGCTGAGGTAGTAATAGTTTCTTGAGTTCAAAGCCAGTCTAGGCTACAGAATAAGACTGCTTCAAAGAACTGGAAAATGAAAGGGTTTGACAGCAACATTGGTAGACAGGGCCACTTTACAAGATAGGGCAACATGAGTGTTCTCCCGAAATCTCCTGGGTGAGAAAGATTCTTGACTGATGAAAACGAAAAAAGAGATCTGGGCATTAAGTATAAAGCAAGGCTGGAGATATCAGGAAACAAATTCAGGTTCTGTAGGTTGTCATACAGATGCTAAGAGAACGGGAGAGGCTTGAAAGAGGACAGTAGCACATGTGTTGGACAGCATACAGAGCCGCTCAGGACAGAAGCCTCAACAGATGACTTCACAGTGAAGTCTGTAATTCAGTGGCTTTTTAAGTTGTACTGGACAAAGGGTTTAAAAGGTTAAAAAAATGTAGCCAGATGTTATGACCCATGACATGATGCTAATGCTTGCAAGGTTGAAGGCAAAATGGTCAGAAGTTCACACAGAGTGCTAGGCTAGCCTGGGCTACCTGGGACCCTTTCCCTAAGAGAGAGAAAGAGTCAGGTATGGTAGCCCTAGATTTTAATCCCAGCCCTAGAAAGACAGGCAGAGTTGTGTGAGTTCCAGAATAACCTGATCTACATAGTGAGCTCCAGGCCAACAAAGATACATAATAAAACCCTGTCTCAGAATAAAAAAGAAAGAAAGGAAAGGAAGCAACCAAGCAAGCCAAGAAAAGAGGATATGAAAAGAAAGGCGGCGGGGGGGGGGGGGGGGGTGGATAGGTCTAAGTCTGCTCCTGGGTAACTGAGAATGGTTTTATGTGCCTTTTAGGATAAGAAAAGTACTTTGTCTTCAGATGCAGAAGTGAAACCTGAACCACCAGCTCCATGTGTGAACCCTGGGAACCCTGTGTTTTCCTGTATGATGGACCCCAAGACACTCCAAACAACCACCTCACTGTCTAAACCACAGATGATTATGTACAAAACCAATTCCAGCCAGTATGGTGCCTTCTCACCTAGACCCCAGTTCTTTCCCTGCAAGTACATTCCAATAGAGCAAGTGTTCTCAAATCACATCAGAGCAACTGGGTTTTATCAAAATAACAGCCTAAATACTGCCCCTGACAGAACCAGGACCATTGATTTTCCTAACTTTCAACACACTCTCTGAAAATACATCTTCCTGACAACTGAAGATAAAATGTACTTGAGTATGTTCATTTTTAAGTCTAGAATGCCTAATTTCTGAACATGAAAGGATTTTAATGACTTTTAACAAAGATATAAGTACATGTTCTAAAATACTTTTAAGAAATAAAAATTTTAACTGATAACTTAATGACAGTGACTTCATTTATTTTTAGAAAAAATGGTCTCAGTATGCAACTCAGCTAGCCTAGAACTCTCTATGTAGTAAACCACCACACCCTGCAGCACAAACACTGTTCAAGGGCAGGAAAGACGACTCAGCAGTCAGACTGCTCTTGTTTGGTCCGCTACACCATGTATGAAGGGGAAGGAACAGCCCCTGTAACTCCAGCTCCCCAGGGATCCCATGCCTCTGGCCTCTGAAGGCATCTTCACTCACCAATACTACTAACACATACACAATTAAAATAAAAATTATAAATCTTAAAAAGTGCTCAAAGCTAGGCATGTGGGGATGCTTGTACCACGAGTACTCTGCAAACATAAGCATGAGGCCCAGAATTTCAGGGCAAACCTGGGCTACATAGAAAAACTCTTTCCAAAACAACACAAACCACACAAATACAAAATAAAACAAACAAAACACTCATCATCTCCAAAGTTCTTTAAGATTTATTTATTATATACATAGTATTCTGCCTGCATGTATGCCTGCAAGCCAGAAGAGGCCCAGATCTCATGACAGATGATGGTGAGCTACCATGTGGGTGCTGGGAATTAAACTCAGGGTGTCTGGAGGAACAGCCAGTGCTTAACCGCTGAGCCATCTCTCCAGTCCCTTCAAAGTTATTTTCTCTGTAAGACAATAAAGATAGAGTAAAATAACTAGTAAGATAATAATAGCAAATTACTAATTTTATGTAAGGATAAATCAGAGGCTGAGGGTGTGACTCAGCTGTAGGATGCCTGCCTAGCATGCATGAGGCCCTATGTCTGTCTCCTTTCACTGGTAACCACCTACACCCCCCCTTTAAAAAAGAAAGTGAAAAAGATTAAAGCAGAGGCAATCCCTAAGCATACAGATTGAAAGTAGCCATAACCACTTGGGCACCTATGATAAGGTCTGAGTAACAAATCAGTTTGGGTCTCCATTCATTATGACTTTTAGTCCTGATCTTCTGGATTTATGGGAAGGTCATCTAAGTTAGTCTAAGTTTGACAACTCAATTTTACTGTGAGTGAGTCAATGATTCCATTTTAATATTTAGTCAGCCTCTCCATCTCCATCTGAGATAGGCTTTTGTGCTATAGCCCAGGCTGTTGTGCACTCATGGCAATTCACCTGCCTCAAACTCCCAAGTGATTGTTTTCCAGGTATGCACAACCAACCACACCTAGCTTAGTATTTAGTTTCTTGTGCACAGGGACCTGTAGGGCTGAGTGCAAAAGCACGGTCTTCTGTGGGGTTGTCCTTTCACAGCAGAGGGAACACAGATTTATTAAAGAAAGAATTGAGAGTGGCAGACTCTTCAAGGAAGGAACCCTTCCTTGTGATTTTAACAGAGGTCACCACTGCGGTCCCCTGAGCTCAGCTAGAGTGAACTTGCTCCCAGAGATGGGCCAGCCCTCTGCAGGGATCTTTCAGCAAGCATTCTTTATCTCCTAAGTGGCAGGACAAAGTGCTGCTAACTCAGAGACAGGCATGCTAGGCTAACAGCAGCTTTTTTTTTTTTTTTTTTTTTAATTCTTTGGCTTATCTGAAGACATAAGAATACAATCTTTCCTCAAGACAGTAACTATGACTGATATTTGGATAATATAGTATTACAGAAAAATGATAGGGCTTGGGGACATAGCCTGGTTGGTCGTAGAGCACATAGCATGCAGGAGGTCCAGTGAAGGCTATATCTTCAGACTGAAAAAGAAGACAGAGTGACAGAAGACACCTGCTGTGGGCTGTTTCTGTTGTAGAACCCAACAGGACAGACTAAAAATCAAAGCAGAGCTCCTGTACCAAACTCTACTTGGTGGTCACTCAGAAACTCAACTGACCAGTCCGGAGTGAAAGACCTGGTCCCAAACCTACCACCTTCCCCTGGTGTGATCAGGGAGCCTTCATTTTAGTCCCCACAAGCAAGGGAGCAGAAGTAACCTGGTATGAAGGACCAGTTGTTTCCATTTTGTCTCTCTGTTCTCTCCTTTCAAGGAAAATCACTCTGACTGACCAAACTGCTCTTGTTTCAGTGTCTCCCAGTTTCTCTCTACAAAACCAGCCCTCTGCCCAGTGTAAGGATTCATGCATTACACTGCCCTGCCCCTGTCACCTGCAGAATGCACTCAGGCAGTACCCTGGTCAGCCCAGGGTTCCATGGCTACTTAGTCTACACACAGGTGCAAAGGACCCCTTTAAAAGACAGGACACACACACACACACACACACACACACACACACACACACACACACACACACACCCTAGCCTGTCGTGGAATCTGCCAAGGTCCCCCACTCACTTTATTATACCAGAAGATTCTATTTTGGAAGTAAAGTGTTGCAAGATTCTAGAGCCACAAATAATCAAGACCTATAAACTAAGCTGAGCATGGGGGCACTTAGCACTAAGGAGACTGAGGCAGGGGAATCACCATGAGTTTGAGGTCAATAGTGAGTTCCAAGCCAATTTGGACTGCAAAGTGAGACACTGTCTCAAGGACAAGAAAATGCCACCTGTAACTAGCCGTGTATAGCTGTACACACTTTTTAATATTCATTTTCCCCAGTTTTGTGTATTGTTTTGTGTGTTTTTGCTTGTTTGTTTCTGAGACAGTCTCTCAACATAGCCCAGGCTTAGCCTCAAACTTGTGTGGGACCTTTCTATCTCAGCCTCCCAAGCTTAGAGGTGAGTATCACCATACCCCAAAGGCTCTAGGATGTAATCCCAGTATTATTAGTGAGGCTGAAGCAGAAGGACCACGAGTTCAGGCCAGCCTGAGCTACAAACCAATACCCTGTCTCAAAATATCAAAATTTGCAAACTAACTGTGTCTTAACTTTTGTTGGGATTAATTTTTTTGAAGACTTATTTTAATTTTTGTTGTGTGTGTGTGTACCATGTGAGTTTGCACTCGAGAGACCAAACAAAGGAAGGCATCAGATTCTCTGAAACTGGTGTTCCAAGTGGTAGTGAGATACCCAATAGTGGAATTGGAAATTGAAAACCTGTAAATATTCTTAACCACTAAGCTACCTCTCCTGCCCCTTGGTTGTTTTGTTTGTTTTTTGGCTTTTATTTGTTTGTTTAAGGTTTTGGGACTGAAGAGAGATGGGTTAGTGGCTAAGAGAACTGACTGCTCTTCCAGAGGCCCCAGGTTCAATTCCCAGCACACATATAACAGTGAACAACTGTCTGTAAAGCCAGTTCCAAAATATCTGATGCCTTCTGGCCTCTGCAGGTGTTGCATACATCAGTGGTACACATTCATGCAGGCAAAATACCCATACACATAAAATAAAAATAAATAATCTCTCTCTTTTTGTTTTGTTATGTGTTTTGCTTTTCAAGTTAGGGTTTCTCTGTGAAACAGCCCTGGCTGTCCTGGAACTCACTCTGTAGGCCAAGTTGACCTCAAACTCACAGAGATCCTCTTGCCTCTGCCTCCCAAGAGTTGGGATTAAAGCCAAGTACCCCAAGTACCACCAACACCCAACTTTTTTTTTTTTTTTTTTTTTTTTTTTTTTAAGATTTACTTATTATGTATACAGTGTTCTGTCTGCATGTATCCCTGCAGGCCAAAAGAGGGCACCAGATCTCATTACAGATGGTTGTGAGCCACCATGTGGTTGTGTGAATTGAATTCAGGAGCTCTAGAAGAGTAGACAGTGTTCTTTTGTTTTGTTGTTTGTTTTTTGAGACAGGGTTCCTCTATATGGCAGTCCTGGCTGTCCTGGAACTCACTTTGTAGACTAGGCTAGCCTCAGACTCACAGAGATCCTCCTGCCTCTGACTCCTGAGAGCTGAGATTAGAAGGGTGTGTCACCACCACCCAGCTCCAGACAGTGCTCTTAACCACTGAGCCATCTCTCCAGTCCTGTTTGTTTGTTTTTTTGCTGTTGTTTCTTTCTTCACTTTTTTCTTTTGGAGGTAGTCTCACTATGTAGCCCAGGCTGTGCTGGAATTCTCCATCTTTTTGTCCATCAGACAAAAAGGTTTGGTATGCAATACAACACTATACTCTAGCTGGTCTAATCTCAAACAACAAACAGTATAAAAAAATATGATTTTGTGTATCTTTAAATGACTAAAAATTGTCTATATAGCATACCAAAACCCATCATTCAGAGTGAAGTACTACATTTAATATAATAAAAAATCTTTATAAGTACAATCTTTATCCTGGAAACCCCAACAGCGTAATTACAAGAGCAAGGAGAGTTCAAGACAGCAACATCAAAACCCAAGCCCTGTGCTAAGACCAAGAATTAGAACAGCCCATTCTCTGTATTTAGTTCTATGCTTTGAAACAGGATCTCCCTGTGTAGCTCTGGCTGGCCTGGAGCTGGGCATGTAGGGCAGGCTAGCTGCAAACTCTCAGAGCCCACCTGCCTCTGCCTCCCAGTGCTGGGGGATCAAAGGTAGTGAGCTACAGAAATTGTTCCTCCGGCACTGCCTTTCCAAAGGCTCTCTATCACTTTGACCCTTACAGTGACAGAGTGCTAACAGTGACTCCTGTACCTAGCTGTCTCTAGTCTTGAGACTTCAGTCCTGTCCCTTGAATTATATTCCGAATCTTCTCCGCATCATTCTGTACAACTGTGTTGGCTGGGTCGATCTTAAGTGCAGCTTCATAATCTTGCAAGCCTGTATTGACATATCAGTGATAATCAACAAAGCAAGAATTTCATCAGTACATGTGTTATCTAGGCAACTTTTTGGTTCATTTTGTTTGTTTTTCAGGATAGGATTTCTCTGTGTAACAGCTGTGGCTGTCCTGGAACTCACTCTGTAGACTAGACTTGGCCTTGAACTCACAAAGATCCACCAGCCCCTGCCTCCAGAGTGCTGGGAGTAAAGGCATGCACCACCACCACCTAACAACTTTTTGTTTTTTGAAACAGGGTCTCCTGTGTGTAGCTCAGCATACATGAGCTTGATAGGTAATTTAAGACAACCTTGAACTTCTGATCTCCTGCCTCCATCTCCCAAATGCTGGCATTGCAGGTATGTGCCACCGCACACAGTGTATATGGTAGCAAGGATCTAACTCAGGGCCTTGTGCATTCGAGGCTATAACTCTACTGACAGCTATACTATGCCCCATCAATCTCTTACCTTCAACATACAATTCTAGTTGACAGAATGCTGTACCTCGTCGGACATGTGCCTTCATTCTTGCGTTGGCATTGTCAGAAACAGGTGGTGTCAATAATTCTAGTGCCTTTCAAACAATATAAAGAAGTAGTGGTTAAGGAGATGCTCAGTGGGTAAAGTGCTTGCTCTGTAAGCATCAGGGCCTGTGTTCAAACCCCAACATCCACCTCCAAGCATGGCAGAGCATGCTGATCCCTGGGGCTGCTTGGCAGGCTAGCCAGCCTAGCTGAATCAGCAATGCCCTGATCCAGTGAGAGACTCTGTGTCAAAAGAAAAGTGGGGAGTAATAGTTAAAGAAAAAGCGACCGTGAACATGGTGGGTGGGGGATGGACATGGGAGGAACTGAGGGGAGGAGTGGGGAAATGATATATTTTAATTAAATTAAAACACACACACACAAATGCAAGTGTGAGGCTAGAAAGATGGGTTAGAGGCTAAGAGCACTTGCTGCTCTTCCAGAGGACCTGAGTTCAGTTGCCTGCCCACTACTGTCTATACCTTGAGTTCTGAGGGCAACTGCATTCATTTGCAAATACCCACCCCCTACACACACACCAGAAACACAAACATACACATAACTGAAAATAAATCCTTAATAAAATAAGGTGAACAGGGCCTGAAGTATGCCAAGACTGATCTCTTGCCACTACACAAGCCTGCATACACACATACCCACATACATCCACACATATCCACACACATACTATGTGTATAAAACAAAGGGTATACATAAAATTAAATCTGAGCAAAAACTGTGAAAATTCTAAATTCTAACTTTAAGGCTGATATCAGAATACATAATGGTTTATACCATAATTCCTATACCTGGAGCATTGCTAAACTGGGTGTGGTCACAGGCCTTCAGTACCAGCACTTGGGAGTATAAGGAGTGCAAGGCCATTTTTCTCTGCATACTGTGTTCCAGGCCAGACTAGGCTACACAAGACACTGTCTCAAAAAAATTAATAAATAACTAAAAACACAAGCAAATCAGCTAATGGGCCTGGTGGCACATGTCTATAATTCCAGCTACTAGGGAGGCTAAAGCATAGAATGGCAAAATCAAGGTTTGTTCAACTTTTAGCTTAGGCAATCTAACCTGAAATATAAGTTATATTGGTAAACTGTCAGTACTATTTGTGCTTATTGAGAGCTGACTCAAGCATGTTCATTTCAACATCTTCCAAAACTCCATGTCCTAGGTTAGGTTGCCCCCTGGCACCTTGTAACAGGGAGAAAGAAAAACAGCTAAGAGCCAAGGGTGCTATTAAAAACACGGCACCCCTGAGACTAGCTGGGAAGTGAACCGTTTCAAGCAGAGGTTACTGTTGTTTATCATACAGTATAAAAATGCCTGCAATGAGCCGGGTGTTGGTGGGCACGCCTTTAGTTTCAGCACTCAGGAGGCAGAGGTAGGCAGATCTCTGAGTTCAAGGGCAGCCTGATCTACAGAGCTAGTTCAAGGACAGGCTCCAAAGCAAAACAGAAAAACCCTGTCTCGAAAAACAAACAAAAAAACCCACTATCACCACCAATGACAACAAAAAATGCCTGCAGTGGGAAGGAGGAGCCAAAAGCTCATTTGTGAAGCAAACCCTATGCTCTCCCTCAGGACTCCCAGAATGACTACTCCAGTAGGTCTTCCCCAATGCTGCTGCTGGATGTTGCCAGCACCTACATGATGATGTTTTATCATCTGCTACCTGCTGGTTGTTCTTTCCATGTTGCTCGCTACATACTGAATTAGCTCACTCTTTGGAAGCAGAAAGCATGCTATTGCAGATTATCCTCCATATAGAACAGCTAGAAAGGAAAAGGAGGACCAGATACAGACTCAATGGTAGAGCAGGCAAAGGGCCTAGCATTTAACTTCTGGGGGAGGGTACTGAGTACAGAACCCAGCACCTCACTCTGGCTAAGCAAATGCTCTACTACTAAGCTAAGTGCTAAGTCCTAGCCCAGTGGTTCTCAGCCTTCCTAATGCTGTGACCCTTTAGTACATTTCCTCATGTTGTGGTGACCCCAACCATAAAATTATTTTGTTGCTACTTTATAACTGTAATTTTGTTACTGCTGTGAATCATTATATAAATATCTGACATGTGACCCCTGTGGGGGTTTCAATTCACAGATTGAGAACTTCTGTCCTAGAGCATCATTTAAACCAATAAAGAAGGCATAGCAAATGGCTGCAGTGCAGTACCCCTACCCCTTGACTACTAAGGTCTGACCTGTCCATGTAGACCTTGAACATGCTAGGTTCCATTAAAGGATAACAATTTTGCTTATGCAGGCATCAGTAGTTTATTGTTTTAGTAGTTCAAACACACTCAAAATGGAAACTCAAAAAGAAAATTATGAAATGCTTCATAAAATTGCATGTCATCCTTGCACAGGGGCCAGGATAATCTCTGTATCTTTCCAATTTTAGTAGTTGTGCTGCTGAATTGGGCACCAGTTTGTTTACTTTGTTTATTTTGATCTGTTTGCTTGTTTGGTTGGTTTGGTTTGGGTTTTTTTGAGACAGGGTTTCTCTGTGGTTTTAGAGGCTGTCCTGGAACTATCTCTTGTAGACCAGGCTGGCCTTGAACTTACAGAGATCCCCCTGCCTCTGCCTCCTGAATGCTGTGAGTGCTGGGGTTAAAGTCGTGTGCCACCACTGCCCAGCCTTATTTTGTAACCTTGCCTGACCTGGAACTTGTTGTATAATCCATCCTGGGCTTGAACTCAGTGATTTTCTCCCTTCAACCTCTTGAGGAACCACCACACCTGGCTCTCCAGGATAATTTTAAAACATCATATTTTTAAACTAGGTAAGAAATATATAAACAAACACACAACACACCCATCAGAGGAACATACATACCTTTGAAGAGTCTTCGATGGCCTTGTGTAAGTTTTTTAGTTTGAGGTGGCAAGCAGCCCGATTCAGATACAATAATGGAATCTTACTGTTCAATCGTATGGCTAGATTATATGCATCAACCGCTGCCAAATAGTTTTCTGTTGCAAACAATTTGCTAATGAAACAAAAAGGAAAGGCCGATTTAACATTGAAGCAGACATGGGGATATTTACTCCCTGTCTGGTGAAGACTTCCTGCTGTACAAACTCCATTTCTCTACATACACCAAGCATATGCCTTGAATAGGATGGATCCTCCTCCCCAAAGGCAGTGCAGTCATCAGTGGCTTCATACAGCAATGTATGTCTGTTTTCATGATTCAGTGATTTATTTAGGGATGGGAAAGGGGCTTAAAGTGGCCTGAGTGAAGCTGGTGATTTTGGTCTCCAGTTGGAGAGTGAAAGTTGGTAAAACTTCTCCCCCTGCTGGATGTGAATAAGGAAAGCACATAGAACAAATGTTGATATTTTTACCCATAGGTGTCACACCAAATCCAGTAGATTCTGTGTGACAAGTTCCACAGAATGAGGTGATAACTTCAAATGAAGGAGGTCTCCTGAAAATGGTTGTGAAAACTCTCAACTGGAGAAAAAATATTGGGCTGTGATTCTCATGTTTGTTCGTTTAATCTTTTTTTTTCACATTAATGAAATGTTCCTGAAAGCCTACGCTGACATTCCAAGCGAGAGATATAGATAAGAAACCATCCCCTGAGTGGGGTCACTAGCCATGACCTCATCTCAGGAAAAACCAGTGCTTTCCAAATCAGCCATGTCATTCATATAAAGTACAAATAGTAAAAACTTTCCCAACAATAAAATTTCATATGTCTGTACATGTGTCATCGAGAGTGGGCCTGTCTGGTAACAAAAGCTTTTACTAAGAAAGAGTTGAAATAGTCATAATAGTTCAATATTTCAAAAAAACTAGTAAGAACTAGATAATAGATATTAAACAATAACTGACCATAAAAATATATTAACTTGATTTAAGAAATATGCAGTTAGCCTTGGATGATTCTATGTTAAGCAAGGAAGGTTCTATGCTTTGAGTAACCAAGGACAATTCTGTGTAATTTCATGTTTTGGATTTCTGCGTCACTGTGCCAAGTAACAATAATGTCACATGTTTGGGTTTGTTTAACAAAAACATCCCCTGAGAAAACTATCTCTATAAAAACCCTGCTTGAGAACTGCAAAATACACTCAGATTCAAACTGCCTGTGTTTGTTTCTGTTTGTCACCGTTGAATCCTTACCCATCTAGTCTTCGAGGACCCTCATCCCAGGGACCCCATACCCAACAGGGGTAGTCCGTGGCACACAAGAGAAACTAGCTACGTTAAAGCTGGTGTGATGAGGACAGGAAAGGAGCAAGAAACAGAGGGACCAGCATTTTATGACACAGCAGAGCTACTCTGAGCTTGACACATGTGTCAACATACCTTTCTCAAAGAGCCCACATTAACCAGCCTGGTGGCAAAGACCTGTAATCCCAGCTGCTTGACAGACTGAGGTAGGAAGACTGCAAGATCAAGCTTTACTTGGCCTATGGAACAAGCTGAAGGCCAGCTTGGGCAACTTAATGAGACCCTGTTTCAAAATACAAAAGTAGGAGCTGTAGTCCCATCACTTGAGGGAGAGAAAGGAGGATCTAGAGCTTAAGGCTCTATGGGCTTTGCAGCAAGTTCCCCAGACTGTGCATGTGAGCCCCATGTCAAAACAAACCAACAATAAATGAAATAATAAATGAAAGTTTTTTTTAAAAAAATGGCTGGGGATAGGATATAGCTCAGTGTTTTAGCATTTGTCTAGATGAGTGAGGCCCTTGATTCAATCCTTAATACCACAAAAATCTACTGGATAGACAGAGTGTGCAAGCCAAACAGTCTGCATCCATACATCTTAAGTGAAGGGACACATGCTCCTTCAAATTAGCATTCAGAATGAAGAGGGGAGAAGCTGGCATTCTGCATATGATAAAAAAAAATAATAATAACACGTACATGGTGCTAAAGACCTGTAATCCCAGAACTTGGGAGGCAGAAGCAGGAGTACTTCCACAAGTTCAAAGCCAGTTTGGTCTATATAACAAGTCACACGTGAGTGAGGGCAACATTAGGACTATTTTTTTCTCATAGGGTCCTCCTCCGGAGAAAAAGGAACTTATGGGGCATTCAGTGAGACACATGACATTTTAGCCAACAATGGAATGCATACTGATCCTTAAAGAGTCTATCACCTGGTGATGGCATAGCCATCTTAGTTTGCATACTCACACCTACAGCTTTCATCTTTCTCAGACCAAGCAGCACATGGCCATACAGATGGGTTGAAAGAGGCGTGCACTGTGAGCAATTGCGTTAAGCAACTATGGAGGCTGAGGAGTCCTGAGCTCCATCTGCCCACTAGATACCAAGAAAGCATTGGTATAGGTAGCTCTAGCTCAAGCCCCAAAGTCCAAAAACCAGGGGAGCCGAGGGTTTTGGCACAAGACAAATGTGAAGGCTGGAGTGCCAGGAGTGCTGATTTGCTAGCTCAATAATAATAATTGTTTTTGTATACTAACAACAACAACAACTACTAAAGCCAATTCCCCGCAGGTATGACAGTAATTCCAGCACTAGGGATGCTGAGGCAGGAGGATCGCTGTGAATTCAAGACCAGCCCAGTCTACATAGAAGTTCCAGCCCAGCCTGGGCTACATAGTGATTCCTTGTCTAAAAAAAATAAATAAATAAAATAAAAAACAAAACAAAAACCAAAAAGGCAGGCAGCCACTCCAGTTACTGCCCAAGACTGCTCCTCTTTGGCAAGTGTACTCACTCAATTGATTTTCCCAGGGAGAAAAAGTCCTTAGAAAAAAAAAAAAAAAAAGACTGAATTTTCTCTCCTCTGCCTTTTGTAATACATACTAACCACCAAATACTGCAACAGAACAGAATAAACTGTAAAACACAATCAATGAAGGGCAATTACTCCTGCACCAATTCTAACATCCACTCCTTCTATCAGGAAAAGCAGTGCGAGAAAACTAGCTGTCTCCATAAACAGAACTTGTTTAAATGCAGTAGCAAAGGCAGGTTTCCTGTTCTGAAAGCATATAGGCACATGGCTTACAACGCAATTCTCAAACTAGGAGCGGTGGCTGATACAGACAATCCCACCACTTTGGAGGCTCAGGCAGGAGGACTGCCATAAGCTCAAAGCTACACTGGGCTACAAGAGACCCTGGTTCAACAAAATAAAAAGACAATTCTCCATGGATCTCCTGTGATGGAGATCCAGAGATCTCCATCTCCTGGGTAGATCTGCAGGTTGAAGCCAGGACCTTGAGTATCATAGATGGGAGGCAAGTCTCTACCACTGAGCCACACTCCCAGCCTGGCACCATGATTGCAAAGATGCTTGTGTAGCATCCAGCTGTGGCAGAGTGTGTCTCTGAGGAAGCAGCAGACAGATATGTTTGGATAACAAACAAAATAGCAGGTTTACTGTAACCATTTTACACAAAGTGTGATCCTTAAGCTTGTCCCCGCTCAGCTGTGGTGGAGAGCTACTGTGAGTGCCACACTCCACTCTGGCTCCTCAGGACTAGACCAGCAAAGGGAATGTGCATGAAGTATATGCTGCTTGCTTGCTGCTGTCCCTTGGGAGCCGCCTGCCTTGTTTGGTGGTTGGTTTTGTTTGGAAACAGGGTTTCACCACATAACCCTGGCTGGTCTGGAACTCACTACGTACACTAGGCCAGCCTCAAATTAAACACATATACCCCACACCCAGCCTCACCTCACTGGGATGTGGTGCTCCTGACCAGGTTAGGATGACTGGCTAATGAGCCCCAGAGATCCACCTGTCTCTGCCTTCCCAGAACTGGGACTCAAAGCATGTACCACATCAACAGCTTTTCACATGGACTGAATTCATGTCCTCAGGACTGCACAGAACCTCCCTAGTCCTATATGTATTTTTTTTCTATTTTATTTTTGTGTTTATGAGTGTATTGCCCTGTGTAGATATGTACATATACCATGTATGTGTCTGGTGCCTGAGGAAGCCAGAAGAGGGATTCAGATCCCCTAGAAATTGAGTTATAGACAGCTATGAGCTGCCAAGTGCTAGTAACCAAACCTGGGTCCTTTTCAAGAAAGCCATTGCTCTTAACTGCTGAGCATCTCTTCAGGCCCATATATATCATTTTAAAGGCAGCTTTTCCATTTAAAATTAAGACATAGGTAAAGAAAAATGCAAGCAGTTCTTAGTTTTGCTATGAACCTACTTGTGAGGTGACATAATGACATAAAATCCACATCCCACAGTTCCATGTGTTTAGGCAAGAGGAGGTTATCTGAGTATCTCCTGCAAGGCATCATCAAGTCCAGAACCAAAGCAAGACTCAGTTAAAGAAAAAAAAAAAAAAAAAAAGAAGCCTCCTGGAAGGACCCTCTGGGCAGCTCGGGGCTAGCCTGCTGGTCCTGTTCTCAACCCACAAGCTGCTTTGCATGTCTCCACTCCTTTCTGTCACACTCTTTCCTTCACTCTCAACTTTTCTACAAAACTTGGTGCAGGGAGTATGATGCTGGGGTGCATCTTGGTGGTAGGGCAATCAATGCCCCTGGCACGGGTAAGGCTCTGATGGTCACTACCAGCACTGCAAAAGGAAAAAGAAAACAGAAAACACAATTCCCCATCTCCTAGTCTCCCTGTGCAGCCCTGGCTGTCCTAGAATTCACTGTATAGCCCAAAGTGGCTTCAAACTCACAGACAGCCACTTGCCTATGTCTCCTGATTGGTGGCTTTAAAAGCCTGTGCCAGCACACCTGGATTTTTTGTTTGTTTTGTTTTCTTTTGTTATTGTTGTTGTTCTGTTTTGCTTTTTAAAAGGGTCCCTTAGCCAGGTGTTGGTGGTGCACGCCTTTAGTCCCAACACTGGAGAGGCAGAGATAGGCAGATCTCTGTGAGTTTGAAGCCAGCCTAGTCTACAGAGTGAGTTCCAGGACAGGTTCCAAAGCAATACAGAGAAATCCTGTCTCAAAAAACAAAACAAAAAAGGGGTCCCTTTTCTAAGGCTGGCCTCCAATTCCATGAATAGCACAAATTGACCTTAAACAACTAATCGTCCTGCCTTTACCTCCCAAATGCTGGGATTACAGGTATCAATCACACCCAGAGTGTGGAGTGATAAGAATGGAACCCTGGGCCTTGTATGTGCCAGGCAAGCACTCCACCTACCCAATAACATTCTTCAGGCACTGTACTGCATTTAACTGTCTCATTAGACTTATTAAATATGGATCTTGACCTACCTGCCCTAGTTAGGGTTTTGTTGTTGTGATAAACACCAGAGCTAAAGTAAACTTGGGGGGTAGGGTTAATTTCATCAGCCAGCTTGTAGTCAGGGCAGAAATTCAAGGTAGGAACCTGGAGGCAGGAACTAATGCAGAGGTTTTAGAGGATCCACACTTACTGGCTTGCTGGGGTTTTGGTTTTGTTTGTTTTTTTATTTGTTTTGTTTTATCTTTTTGTTTTTGTTTTTCAAGACAGGGTTTTTCTGTGTATCTTTGGAGCCTGTCCTGGAACTCAATCTGTAGACTAGGCCGGCCTCAAACTCACAGAGATCCACCTGCCTCTGCCTCCTGAGTTCTGGGATTAAGGGCATGTGCCTCCTCCTGGCCTGGCTTGCTAAGACTTTCTCGTTGTACCCAGAACCACTTGCCCACAGGTAGCAGTGCCTACAATAAACTGAGCACTGCACATCAATCATCAATCAATAAAATGCACCACAGAGATGTCCAAAGGCCAATCTGGTGGGGCACTTTTTCAAATGAAGTTCCTTCTTCCCAAATGACTCAAGCTTATATCAAGTAGACATAAGACTATCAGCAATGCCCCAACAGCACACACATACACACACACACACACACACACACACACACACACACACACACACACGGTCAATCTATGCTTGGAATGTGATGAAGAACACTCTGACAACTCACTTCCCCTTTTCTTTCAACCAGTCTGGATTCTTCTCTTCTTCCTTCAAGTCGCAGAACTCAGGAAGATCAGTGCTCATGGCTCTCCGGGCCTCGGCTTGTTTATGCAGCCACTACAAGGAGAACACAATTTCATGATGGACATTGTCTACAAAGCCACTGTAGTCAACCTGACAACATCAGGCAATCACCCTGGAGAAGGGCCTCTAGCATGCCTGTGGAGGGATTATCCTGATTATATTATCTATTGGGAAGAAACTTGCTTTAACTGTAGGTAGGGGAAGCCACTCCTGGATAGGGGATCTGGACTGTGTACTTGGACAGAGCTGTAGGAACAGGATTCATGTTCTCACTCACTGAGCAGCTGCTTCAAGCTTCCGCTGACCTCCTCACCATGGTGGACCATACCTTGTACTGTGGGCTGACATAAGCTTTCTCCCTTAAGTTGCTTTTGTCAGAGTATTTTATAGCATCTAGAGAAAAAGAAGCCAGCCATGGAGATAGAGCAAGGTGGATCTCTGAGTTCAAGGCCAGCCTGCTTCACATATCGAGCTCTAGGCTGCACAGTGAGACTCTGTCTCAAAAATAAATAAGTAAAATAAAATAAAAAATATGTGGAATCTGGGTGTTGGTGGCCCACACCTTTAATCCCAGCACTCGGGAGGCAGAGGCAGGCGGATTTTTGTGAGTTCAAGACCAGCCTGGTCTACAAGAGCTAGCTCCAGGACAGTTTCCGAAGTTACACAGAGAAACTCTGTCTCAAAAAACAAAACAAAACAAAAACAAGAAAAGACCATCCAAAGTTCTAGATAGCATCATCTGGAAGGTTCTATTGTCAGCCTTTTGGCTGTGTCACAGCATGACAGATGGCATCACATGGTTGGAGCGCAGTGAGGGGTTGTATGAGAGACAGCTTTTGTGTGGTGAAGAAGAGAGACCCAGAGATGGGGGAAGGGTTAGACTTACACAACTTCACAACCTGCTCTAGTGGAGAAATGTCCCCTCCTCAGAACAGTATTAACCCCTCCCAGGGAGTGTGTCACCATGACCTAGTCACCTTCCACTGAGCTCACCTCTTGAGTTTAGTGCCTCTGAGCTGGGCCTTAAGGCACAACCTGTAATCTGAGCTACTTGCTGAGGCAGGAGGGCACAAATTCATGGCCTGCTGGGCTACAGGGAAAGAGCTACCATCCCTAAATTCCTTTACATTATCAACCTTCCACACTGTGAATCATTGGGAGATGTTGTGTTTAGCATGCTCCCCCAGGCCATGCGTTAATGATCCCCAGCCTGTGGCACTGCTATGAGGAGAGACCCTGCAGAGGATAGGACCTGGGCAAAGGAAATCAGGTCACTGAGGGATGAGCCTGAAGAGGACATCAGGACCCTGGTCCCTTCTCTTAACCTCTTGCTGCCATGAGGTGAGTGGGTTTGCATCTCTGAGATGCTGAGCCTAGTCACTGGCCCCAAAGCAACGGGGCTAACCAACCACAGATGAATTGAAGCTTTCTATCCTTACAAGTGCTTTTCTGAGGCCCTTTGTCACAGTGGTGGAATACTGACTAACAAAGGGCAAAGCAGATCCCAGCCACAGAAGACACAAAAGCCTCATTAAAAATCTTATTTACGGCCAGGTGGTAGTGGCACACACCTTTAGTCCCAGAACTTGGGGAACAGAAGCAGAGGGATCTCTGTGAGTTCTAGGCCAGCCAGTCAGGGCTATATCTGTCTCAAATAAAACAAAACGAAACAAAGTTTGTTAGTATGTGTGTGTATGATTGGGGAGTGTGCACATGTCACAGCATACAGGTAAGCCAGAGGACAACATGGTAGAGTCAGCTCTCCCCTTCCAAAAGGTCTTGTTTTTATTAACAGTTTTACATTTCCCACCTTTTCCCGGTAGGCAAAATTGTCACTTGGATCAATGGGCTGAACAGTCTGTCAAATGGCAAATACACTCGTTGAAGGCCTAACCCTTGATGTGACAGTGTCCGAGATGGGGAAGTAAAGAAGGCCATGGAGTTTAGATCATGCCAGGACAGCCTCACTCTCCTCATAAAAGGAGCAGATCAAAGCTTGCCTTCCTTACTAACATGAAGAAACAGGATGAGCGCCTCACCAAGAACCCCTGGCCAAATCCCTGATCAGAAAACTGAGATGTCCTTTCATTAAGCCACCTAATTTTAGCTGTTTTGTTTACAATGGCCTGATCTGATAAGCCCACTATTCCATGATGTTTTAAACCTTTCAATATTTATAAAGTCTTAAACATCTTTTAATACTAAAACAAAACATACAACACAAAACAAAGAAATCCAAAACCTAATTTCTTTCCTTTTCTTTTCTTTCCCTTTTTCTTTTGTTTTTTTTCTTTCTTTCTTTCTTTTTTTCCTTTTCTTTTTTTTTTTTTTTTTTTTTTTTTTTTCATATTCCTGACTGTCCTGGAACTCACTATGTAGAACAAGCTAGTGTGAACTCAGGGAGATTCAGATGCATCTGTCTCTGCCTCCTAGTGCTGGGATTAAAGGTGTGTGCCACCGTATCCAGCCCAGTGCTAATTTCATAATTTCAACAGATGAATTTATGAAGGCATTTTCCAGTGGTGACTCTAACTGAAGTGGTGACACTTAACAGGGACTAAGTGTGCCTACCTCTTCCTCTTCTGCCACTTGGGATTCCCGAAGAGCAGTTGGGAACACTCGAGGCGTAAAGCTGATTTGAATACTGCCAGCCGATCGAGGTGCAGGAATGCTGTCTTCCTTTAGCTTCTCAGAAAATATGTTTTCCCAATTTCTCCCTTCAGAAGCAAAGGTAGTGAATAAGTCATTTATTTCCCATGTCTAACTAACAGATTGACTTTTAAGATAACTACACACCAAGGCTAATTCTAAAATTACAAGTAAATAATAAAAATTAATAAGTGACAAAATAAAACATGGCAAAGAGGGCCAGTGAGATAGGTCAGAGGGCAAAGCTGCTGCTGTACAAGAATGGCAACTGGACCACATAAAAGTAGAAGGAACTTGCGGGGTGGTGGTGCTCGCCTTTAGTCCCAGACTTGGGAGGATCTCTGTGAGTTTGAGGCCAGCCTGGTCTACAAGAGCTAGTTTCAGGACAGCTTCCAAAACAATACAGAGAAACCCTGTCTGGAAAACAAACAAAGTAGAAGGAGTTGGGTGGCTTTCCAGACCAGCTCATCTCTGTGAGGTCAAGGCCAGACAGTTCTAGATAGAGAGTTCCAGGCTACCCAGGGTTAATGAAGCCACTACTCAGATAATAATAATAATAATAATAATAATAATAAGTCAGAGGTGTAAAACCAACTCCCCAAAGTTGTTTTCTGTCCTGCCCCTCCATGCCACACACACATACTAACAACAAAAATAAAAATAAACGAAGGATGTTTTCTGCAACGAGGAATAGGATACTCTGCATTAACATGGCAGCTAGTCTATTCTTTAATCAGTGACCCGCTACTTTTCCGGGATTCACGGTTGAGCCTCTGTCTAGTTCATATCTACTCTGGGGGAGGCACACTAGGCAAAGCCATCGTTGCCATGCCTCCTCCAACCCCTGCACCCCACAGCAGTGTCCCTGCAGACACCTGCGCCCCACGGCAGTGTTCCTGCAGACACCTGCGCCCCACGGCGGTGTCCCTGCATACACTTCCTAGAGAAGGTAAGTGAGAAGGCAGCAACAATGCCAACGAAAGGCAGACATTCTTATAAAGGTGCTGGGCAGATGTGAGGACAAACAAGCCATGTACTGGGATGTCATCTATGTGCCACCATTGCCTGGCTACATAGATCTGTTTTTGTTTGTTTGTTTTGTTTTTTGAGACAGGGTTTCTCTGTGGCTTTGGAGCCTGTCCTGGAACTAGCTCTTGAAGACCAGGCTGGTCTCAAACTTACAGAGATCCACCTGCCTCTGCCTCCTGAGTAATGGCATCAAAGGCATATACCACCAATGCCTGGCCATAAATCATATTTTTAAAAAACGTTTTTATACAGAGAAACCCTGTCTTGAAAAACTAAAAAAAAGAAAGAAAGGAAGGGAGGGAGGTAGAGAGGGAGGAAGAAAAAAAAGAAGACAGGAAGGAAGGAAGAAAAAAAGAAGGGACTTTTTAACTATGTAGGGCATTTAGGACAGCTTAGACTACATAAAATGTCTTAATAAGAAAGTGTGTGTGTGTGTGTGTGTGTGAGAGAGAGAGAGTGTTGGATTCAGCTCAGGGTCTATAAGCTTGCCTAGAAAAGCACAAGGCCGTGGACTTGGTCCCCATCAGTGAGGGAAACTAAAAACAAACTTGCTTGTGGCATGGTGTCGCATGCCTAAAATCCCAGCACTAGAGAAGCAAAGGCTGGAGGATCAGGAGTTCGAGGTCATCCTCAGCTCTGCAGCAAGTTTGAGGCCAGCCTGGGCTACAGGAGATCCTGCCTCAATACAAGTGAAAGCAAAGGCGGTAAGTTAGTTGTCTTTCTTGTTTTCTGATTTCATCATTATACCAAGCTTCCAACCCATCCTCTAACTAATAAGTTCCCTGTGTCTACTCTTGTGTTTTATTGCTTTCAGTGTCTCTCTACACTAGCTATTTATGGAATGTATAAAATGACTACCATGTGGCCAGCAGCCGGCCATGATCCCCAGACCACATAGCACAACCCCTCAGATAAGGTCTTTCATCTCACATCTTTGTATTGTATTGCTTATTCTTAATATACCAGAGCATGGCATGTGCCTGCAAGAAGACTAAAAACCAAACCAAAGGAAGAGAAAAGGGCAGGAGGCGCCATACCTCTTTCAGGGAGTCTAGCGGGCGGGACCTTCCTGGGCAGACTCGGGGGCTTTAGTGCTCCCTTCTCTTCAGCCTGCTTTCCCCGTTGGCATTTCTCTTTCCTTGGGATTCTTTTTCGCTCTTCAGCTTGTCTTTGACTTTCTTTCCAGGCTTCCAATTCTCTAGTTGCTTGTTTCCGTTCATTTTCTTTCATATCTTCTATTTTTTTCCTCTCTTCTTCTTCAATCTGTAAAAATTGTAATCAGCAAGTCCTTTAGAACATTTAGAAAGCAACAGCCCTGCACGTGTGAAGAGTGTGTGTAGCATGTGCTTCTGTTCATGTGAGTGTCTGCACCTTGGGATGAGAATCAGCTGCCACCGCACCAGGCTTTAATTTGCACTGAAACAGTAGATCCTGCGGTCGGCTGTGCACACCTGGGTGACTGGCACTGTCCTGATAACTGAAGGGCACCAAATGGGCAGCCCCTCATCTTCCCCGTATACTTCAGCACCCAAGAGTGTGCATGTAGGAGGAAGTCCTGGGGGGGGGGGTAACATGTCAAATGGTGGGACAGGTCACAGCTCAGATGCCAATAATCTGGTGATGTAACTCAGTTAGCTGAGTGTTTGCCTAGCACTTGGGACAACCTGGCTTTGATGCCTCCAGAGGGCAGGGATTATGATACCACACCTGTTGTTTTTCTTTTACTTTTTCTTCTTTCTTCCTTTTTGTTTTTATTTTTGTTTTGAACAGGGTCTTACTACTCTGAGTGGCCTGAAATTCACCATGTAGACCAGGATGGTCTTGAACTCAGAGTTCTGCCTGCCTCTGCCTCCTGAGTGCTAAGAAAAGGCATGTGTCACCCTGCCTTTTCATTTCATGTGTCTGTGTGTGTGTGTGTGTGTGTGTGTGCACGCGTGCGTGCACTTGAATGCTTGAATGTGGACATGGGCACAGACATGCTATGTGGTTTGTGTGAAATTCAGAGGACAACCTGCAGAGTTGATTTTCTCCTTCTATCTTGTATGTCCTGAGGATTGAACATAAAATACCTTTACACACTGAGCCATGAGTTAGCTTTTGAGAAAGTCGGTTGCTGTAAAAGCTGAGGAGCCACAGATCTCTCTCAGGCTCTCTGTCTTGCTATATGATCTGTCTCACACACTGCCCCTTCAGCGAGCAGATGGACCACCTCGTCTTGGACTCCCAGTCTCCAAAGCTGTAAGCTAAGGAAATATCTTTTCTTTATAAAGTTGCCCAGCTTCACATATTTTTCTTTCATCATTGCTGAGGGTTAAATTCCTGTCTCCAGCATGCTAAGGGGGCACTCTATCACTGAGCACCCTAGGAATGTTGTCATAGCAATGAAAAACTGACCAGTGCATCTGCCTAATTAAGGTTTACATAGTAGGCACCAAAGACAGTAACCACTGCACGGTGGCAGCTCAGAGAGCTGCTAACTGGAGAAACCAAGCAATCTGTACATGACAAAAAGTAAAGTCTGTATTTATATCTCACAAAAGGGCATGATGAAGTCAGAGAGAACACCACAGTCTGAAAGGTAACAATTTGCTTCATTTAATAACAAGTATGTGTTGAGCTGGGCAGTGGTAAGGCACACCTTTAATCCTAGCATTTGGGGGGGGGGGTAGAGGCAGGCAGTTCTCTGTTGAGTTCGGACAGCCTGGTCTACAGAGATAGTTCCAGGACAGCCAAGGCTACACAGAGAAACTCTGACTTGAAAAACAAACAAACAAAAAAATAAGTATTTGTTGCAACAGAATATTTGTGTACACTGTAAAGATTCATCTCTGCCTAAGGCACTTCTTGATTGATTTAATAAAGAGCTGAATGGTCAATAGCTAGGCAGGAGAGAATAGTCAGGGTTTCCAGGGAGAGAGAGGAAGAGGAGGAATCTAGGCACTCAGATTTCACAGAGACTCTGAATAGGACATACAGTACAGAGCAGAGGTAAATGAGCCACGTGGCCAAGTGTAAATTAAGAAAGTCAAGTTAATTTAAGTTATAAGAGCTAGCTGGGAAAAAGCCTAAGCTAAGGTCAAACTTCCATAATTAACAGTTGAAAGACTTTAGTTTGCAGAGCAAGGATGTAGAAAGGGGGCAGGAGAATAGTTCTTGAAAGCAGAATATAGAAAATCACAAAGAATGGACGTGGACATGGGTGGAAAGATCAGAAATTATGACAACAAGAAAGGTTATTATGGTAATGGGGCTAGTAGTTATATGCTAGGCTGATCTTGTTAAACAGGTCTAGTTACTGAATCATCAAACCTTTGTGGAATAACTGAAGGCTCCAAATGTACAGCCAAGAGAAAGCCAGAGTATGAAAGAAGTTTCTCACAGGCCTTGGCCCACCACAAGGAAATGGACCCCAATCCTGGAACAAATGGTCCCAGATGGACAGCCCTGTCTGGGTCACACCTGGCCAACGGACAGTCTGGGAACTTTCCAAGTCATTCTATGGTTTTTCCCTTGAAGAACAGGTCACACCTGGGTGATTTCTCAAACATGAGATCATACTTTGTAATCAATCACCTTGTGACCCATGCATGTATGCTGATTTGTGGTTTGTCTCTATAAAAAGAGCCTAAACCCTTTGAGGAGTGTGCAGCTGACACCTGAGTACACTCCTTCAATAAACACCTCTTGCTTGTTGCATCTCCTGGTTTTGGTGTTTGTGGATCGGGGCTCTCCCATCGGCCCATCAGGACCCAGAAATTAGGGTCTTACATAATAAGTCCCTGTGTGATGGGGGATGTTCTTCTGTGTATATGTTTCTCTTATTGGTTAATGAATAAAACACTGATTGGCTGATTGGTCAGACAGGAAATGACCTGAGCAGAATCAGAATATGAGCAGAGACAAATAGGAAATCACTTTTCTGTGGAGAGGCTGAGTAGTCTTCATGTAGCAGGTAAAGAAGTTGAGGGTCCGGCATACCCCGGTAAGATAAGACCATGTGGAATTACTTAGATGAACAGAAATGGCTTAATAATTAAGACAGAGATAGCCAATAAAAAACACTAGTCACTGGCCAACAGCTTTATAACTAATACAGCGTCCATGTGTTCATCTGGAACTAAAGGGGTGGCTTCGGAACCAGGTGGGAAGTCACTCAACATCTGTGTCTTTTTTTGTGAGCTGGGGGCCCAAAGGAAAGTTCAACTACAAGTATGCCTTCATTTTTTCCCCCAGCAAACACAATGCAGAGAAGAAATGTATAAGGAGTGGGACATCCTCACCCTCGAAGAACCCAGCTGTGTCTCATCGCCTCACACCTTACACTCCCAGTCACAGCACCCTCAATTATTCTTCATGGAACAGTGTTTATTTATAAAATCCTTAATCGTTTCCAGATGCCAAAATGAGAATTAAAGAGAGGAAAGTATTTGTAAACTGGACAGAATTGCTGAAACAGAGGCAGAAGTTGGGGAGACAAGGTCTATATGGCCCTGGCTGTCCTGAAACTCACTGGATATGTAGACCAGGCTGGCATTGAACTCACAGAGATCCTCCTGCCTCTGCCTCCTCAATGCTGGGATTAAAGAGGTGTACCACCTCGACCAGCTTCTTTTTTTTCAAGACAGTGTTTCTCTGTGGCTTTGAAACCTGGAACTTTCTCTGTAGACTAAGCAGGCCTCAAACTCATACAGATCCTCCTGCCTCTGCCTCCTGAGAACTGATTAAAGTCGTTTGCCACCACGGCTGTTGACAGCTTGAACTTCTGATCCTCCTGGTTTACCATCCTGAGTAGCTGGATGGTCTGCACCTCCACACCTGGCTGAACTTCTCATCTTTCCCCCGCTCATCATAGTCTGCCTCAGCAAGCCCCCTGGAGGTCTGCCCTCACCTTCATCATCACACCTAGTGTGTATCTCTGATCTTCCCGCTTGGCAGCACTTTTTGCTTCTGTGGCCTCTTTTGCTTTCTCCTGGGCTTGCTGAATAGATTTTTCTCTTATTCTCTGCATCATCTCTTTGTTGACTGCAACATAAGGAAAAGTATTGAATCGGGATTATAATTAATTTGTTTTTATTGACATGAAAAGCACTTATCATAGGGATCCAGAATAAGATTTCTTTAGATCCAATTTCACAAGAATAGAGGTTTTTAAAAATTATTTTATGTGCATCAGTGTGAAGGTGTCAGATCCTGGGGAACTAGAGTTACAGATAGTTCTGAGCCACCATGTGGAGTCTGAGAATTGAACCAGGTCCTCTGGAAGAGCAGCCAGCCCCAGAAGGGAATGTTTTTGAGAAAGCATCTTTCACATGGCCCAGAATGGTTTTACAGTTGTGGTCCTCTTAAGAGCTGAGAGTGCAGCTGGGCAGTGGTGGCGCACACTCATGTAGTCTAACTTCCCCAGTGCTTGGATTACAGGTACATACTGAGCTCTCATGAAAGACACCCAGCTCAAGTTAACTTTCACTAAAACTTACCACCTGGCATAGAGAGGGTCTCCCACATAACTGGTTCCTTTTTATACAATGTAAAGAGAATCATGTCATTCCCAATCTTGGCTTTGCTATTCCCATCATCTATGGGAGCATAGAGAAACACCTCAAATAAAAATGGAGAAAAGTTGACCTGTTCAGGAGACAGAAAGCAGGCATTAAGTTAGTTGCACACTTAAAGATACTACCATTAAAAAGTAAGTCTGGTCTAGAGAGATGGTTCAGTGGTTAAAAGCACTTGTTCTTGAGAGGACCTGGGTTCTGTTTGCAGCACCCACATGGAGACTAACATCCATCTGTAACTCCAGTTCCACCAGATCTGACATCCTTTTCTGAACTCCAAGGACACCAGACAGGCACGTGGTACACACACACACACACACACACACACACACACACACACACACACACGAGGCAAAATAGCCTTATGCATAAAATAAATAAAAAAAGTTACAATTATTCATTCCATTGGGGATATAGTCTCTGGCATAGTGTCAAATACTTGTAATCTGGGCTCTCAGGAGATAGAGGCAGGAAGCTCAGACTTTCCAGGCTATCTTCAGCTACAAAGTGACTTTGAGGCAAAACCCCACTGAATTTATTCCAGGTAGCTTAAATTAGCAAAGTGTGTGTGGGTATCTGAGGAAGCCATGGATGAAAGTAATCCTTGACCTGGATGTGTTAAAGAGATTTGTCTTTGTTGTTGTTTGTTTGTTTGTTTGTTTGTTTTTCAAGACAGGGTTTCTCTAGGGTTTCTCTATGTAGCTTTGGAGGCTGTCCTGGAACTCGCTCTGTAGACCAGGCTGGCCTCTGCCTCCTGAGTGCTGGGATTAAAGGCATGCACCATCAACACCAAGATTTATTTATTAATTATGTCTGCCTGCATGTATGTATACCTACAGGCCATAAGAGGACACCAGCTCTCATTACAGATGATTGTGAGCCACCATATGGTTGCTGGAATTGAACTCAGGACCTCTGGAAGAGCAGCCAGTGCTCTTAACCACTAAGCCAACTCTCCAACCCTTTTGTTATTTCTTTAATGGCACTTTGTGAGTACCATGGCATACACGTGGAATTGTGGGAAGTTGGTTCTCTCCTTCCCAGGGACTGAACTGAGGTTACGAGGCTTGGCAGCAGTACATTAACTTATTAACCCATCTCACCAGCCAGTTGTTTGTTTGTTTAAGAAAGGTTTCTCTGTGTAGCTTTGGCTAGAATTTGCTCTGTAGACCAGGCTGGCCTGGAACTCATAGAGATCCCCCTGCCTCTGTCTCCCATTGTTGGGGATTAAAGGCATATGACACCACTGCCTGGCTTTAGATTTGTTTTTTTAAAGGGGATTTTAAATTGAGGCCTTGCCAGGGAAGGTGAAGCATCCCACTAAGTCCAGCACTTGGAAGTCTGAGGCAGGAGGCTAAAATTCCAGGTCGGTGTGGGCTACAGAGTAAGACTATAAGCCATTGGGGCTGGAGAAATGGTTCAGTGTTTAAGAGCATATGCTGCTCTTGCAAAAGACTGGGTTTGGAGCTAGGCAGTAGAGGTGCAGGCCTTTAATCCCAGTACTCAGGAAGCAGAGGCAAATAGATCTCTGTGAGTCCGAGGTCAGCCTGATCTACACAGAAAGTTCCAGGGCTGGCTCCAAAGCTACAGAGAAATCCTGTCTCGGGCAAACAAACAGAAAGAACAAAACAACAATAAAAAAAGACTGAGGGGTTTGGTCCCCAGCATCCACATCATGGCTCATTACCATCTGTTAACTTCAGTCCCAAGAGATCTGGCGCCCTCTTCTGACCTTCGCAGACACTGCACACACCTGGTGCACACGCATACACGCAAACATTCGTTCACATACATATACACACATAATGCATGTAATAGCTGGAAATGTAGCCCAGTGGCGTGGCATACATAGGAGGCTGGATTTGATCCCTAGCATCACACACACACACACACACACACACACACACACACACACACACACACAAGCAATTAAAAGTAAAAACTGGAAATAAGAAATGTTTAACAAAACATGAAAAGGTAAACACAATGGACACAGTACAGTACTCCGAGTACACCACCCCTCCCACCTTCAGGTAACTTTCCCCGCAGAACACGTCGGCGTCGCGCACGCACACGCCGCGCAGAGGCAGCGACAGGAAAACCGCGGCCGGGGTCTGCTGCCAGCTGAACTCGCTCACCCGCACCGGCATGGCTGGACCAGGGACGCGGGAGCCACCCCGCGTCGCTAAGAAGCCAGCACGGTTGCTAGGAAAGCAGAGATCGCGGCTGCCATCACTTCCGGCCCTTCGGGCACTTCCAGGTCCTTCCGGGTCAGGGGTCCAGTGGAGGTCCAGGCTTCCCAGCGTTCCTCGTGCGCTCTGGTCGTTCTTGGGTCTGGAGCGTCTGGCTCCCTGCTGCGTCTTAGCCTGAGAGAATGAGGAAGTAGAGCAGGACATGTCCTTAAGATGGACATGGGATGGCTCTGGTGTCGAGAAAATGCGCTGCGGATGCGATCCTCTGAAGGGGACCCAAGTTCGGTTCCCTGCACCTGGGCTGGGTTGCTCACAAGCGCTTTTAGCTCCAATTGGGTACCAATTTCTTACTTCTTGCACTGCACTCGCACGCAAAAACAGATTAATTAAATAAAAGTAATTTCAAAGTGGATTTTGTTAAAGGAGAAGAGAAGCTGTGTTGTGCTCCCTGGGAGAGGTGGGGCTTGCCATGGGATGCCTGACACTGGAAAGGAAAAAGTTGAGGTTTTAGACTTCAGAGGGACATGCACTTTAGAGTCGGGACGTTTGGTTTGCTCTCATCCTTTGCTGGGCATTAGCAGTGCGGTGGCCTGTAATCTCAGCACATGGGGAGGCTGAAGCAGGAGACTTCAGTTGGAGGCCATCCTGATATATAAAACTCTTGTCTCAAAACATAAAGCAACGTGTGATGAATGAATCTGTTTAGAGGCTGTTTCCATCACACATCCTGAGAGCTCTGGTGTGCACGTTTGCATCCTCCAAATCTGGGAACGGACCCAGACTTCAAAATTTGAGTCCTGCTTTGAAAAAAAAAAAAAAAAAAAAAAAAAAAAAAACACAATGGCACACAAACAGCTTCGCTATAACTCCATAGTAGGATCTACTGGATTTAAACCGATGCATTTTTCCAATAGTGTAAGTACACACTAAAAAATCAGCTGCCAAGAAACTTGAAGGTTGTGTAGTTCGGCCCATGTGGTTAAGGAACCTGTGCTCCTAGCATTTAAATCTATTGTTACATACACTGTTGGCAGAATAATGACTGAGATCCTTAATTCATTTTAAATGTTCTTTCTACACTACTTCCTTAGACGCAGTGCCTGGTATAATTACATACCAGAAAAGTTATTTGCACATAGGAAGCTGGATTTTAAACTTAAAAAAACAACAAAAACTTTTGGAGAGCATTTACACAAGTTTTTAAACTCCAATGTAATTCGTTGCAGCTGGGTTAGTATGTTTCCCCCACTGCTGATGCCAACAGACTTTGTGAACAGTTCAATATCTCAAACTTCTGGTCCTTTGGGACAATGGGAGCCATCTTAGAGTTCATTTGTCCCACTGAGCTGAGAAACCTACAAGTCCTGCAGATTTGGTCCATTTTCGTGTTTTCCACATTTCCCCTTTTTATTCTACTCTTGTTTTTACACACACTTAAAAATAAAGACTAAAAGCCAGGCAGTGGTGGCTCACACCTGTAATCCCAACACTCGGCAGGCAGAAGCAAACAGATCTCTGAGTTCTAGGCCAACCTGGCCTACAGAGTAAGTTCCAGGACAGCCAGGGCTACACAGAGAAATCCTGTCTGGAAAAACCAAATAAATAAATACTAATAAAAGGATTGTTGGACTGAGGGTGTAGCTCAGTTAGCAGAGCTTGCTCCATATATCAAGTGCTGGGTTCCCTCCTCAGCACCATGTCAACCAGGAGAGGCTGTGCACGCCCATCACCCTAGAACTTGAGAAGTAGAAGCAGGAAGATCAGAGATTCAAGGCCATCCTCTACTACATACTGAATCTGAGGCCAGCCTGGGCTACATGAGACCTTTGTCTGAAATAAAATGAAACAGAACTGATGTTTATCAAAAAGCATAATAGTGTTAATTTTTTTTATCTGAAATATTTTTTCAACCTAGGCCCACTAGACATCCTTAGTTGCACTCCTTGGCACAGGCATATTGGATGTTTTAAGCTGGAGGAACTTTTATTTCTTTATTTTTCATTTTCAATTCTCTGAGTAGCCCTGGCTGTCTTGGAACTCACTCTGTAGACCAGGCTGGCCTTGAACTCATTCATCTGCCTCTGCCTCCCAAGTGCTGGGCTAAAGGTATGTGCCACAGCATCCCAGCCTGGCTTAAGCTGAAGGAATTTAAGAAAGACTCTAACTTGGTATCTCTGTCTTCTCTGAGACAGAGATAAGATCCTTATGTGAAAAAATGTCCTTGCTAAGGGCTGGAGAGATGGCTCCTAAAAGCACTTGCTGCTCAATTCCCAGCCCACACAAGGCAGCTCAGTGTCTGTAAAAACCAGTTCCGAGAGATCTGACACCCTCTTCTGGCTTCTGTGGGCACTGCAAGCAAATGCAGACACTAGGCAAAACACTCACACACATAAAATAAATGTAAAACTTTAAACCTGGAAAGCATCCAAATGTTTCTCATATATCAGACTATTATATACCAATATTACATACCAATAAAAACAAGTACATTATCACTATACACTAAATGGATGATTGAAAAAAAAGTAAAAAAGATTCATAAGGGCCCAGGTAAAGGAGCTTGCTGCCAAGCCTGACAACCTGAGTTCAAGCCCCAGGACCTCCATGGTGAAAGGAGAGATCCAACTATGGCAAATTGTTCTCTGACCTCTATAACAAATAAAATAAAATATATAAAAAGAAAGATTCTTAAAGAAAATTACTATTTGTTCATTAATTTTGGAGACAAGGTGGCACCATGCAATTCAGGCTGATCTAGAACTTGCTATATAGCCAGGCTACTGATCTGCTGAGATATCTTTCTCCCCCAATCCTCTCTTTATGTGGGTAGCCCAGGCTGGCCTTCAAATCAGTCCTCCTGTCTCAACTTCTCATCCTCCCCAATATACTTATGTGACCCTCACATCCTACTCACCAATGCCATATTTTAAACATTTAAAACAAAAGGTATATCTGTTTGTAGCCCTGGACAAGGTTGGCCTTGAACTCACAGAGATCTGCAAGCCTTTTCCTCTGCAGCACAAGTGCTGGGATTAAAGGTATGTGCTGCCATGCCCACTAAGTAGTTCCTTTTAAAATCTATGTGTTTAAAATATTATGTGTTTGGGTGGCTTGCCTGTTTGTCTTTGTACCATGTTCATGCAATGCCCAGAGAGTCCAGATGAGGGCATCAGATCCCCTGGAACTGGAGAAGGTGGTGAGTTGCCTGTGGGTGCTGGGACTTGAACTCCAACCTTTGGAAGAACAGCTAATGAGTGCTGTTACCCATCTCTCTAGCCCCACCCCACTCATTACCACCCCAAACTACCGTCTTGATCATGGTGTCTCCCCTGTAAGGTATTTAGTTGTATTTTCTGCATAACTTACAATGTTAAAGTTGCACAGATTTTTAAAAAAATGATTTATTTTTATTTTATATTCATTGGTGTTTTGCCTGCAATGTATAAGCCTTGGAACTGGAGTTACAGACAGGTGTGAGCTGCCATGTGGGTGCTAGGAATTGAAACTGTGTCATCTAGAAGAGTAGCCAGTGCTCTTAACCTCTGAGTCATCTATCCAGCCCCAAGTTTCACAGATTTAACCTTCAACTCCACCTCTGTTCTGGTGTCGGTGTGTGTGTGTGTGTGTGTGTGTGTGTGTGTGTGTGTGTGTGAGAGAGAGAGAGAGAGAGAGAGAGAGAGAGAGAGAGAGAGAGAGAGAGAGAGAGAATGAGAATGAGAATATATATCAGGATCTCACCAGAAGGAATTGTCCGATCAGCATAAACTCTTGGCAAATTCCAGGCCAGAGCTTCAGTTAATCTTCTTTGGCTCTATTTCACCCAAAGCCAGTGCAGTCACACCTACCCCTCCTTGCTGAGAGATAAAGTTCAAACACTTAAAATAATCAGGCCTTCTCCTTCAAAACTAGCTTTATTTAGAAGAATCTGAAGTAGAGTAACACCACAGGAGACAAACTTGCAAGTTATTCAGGAAAGACTGCACACATGATTTCCACTATCAGAGTCTACAGACTTCCGGTCTTTACACTGCATGCAGGCGACACAAGCATCTCCCTGAAAACAATGGTGGCAAGAACATTGACTGATGGGAAAATAGAGCCTCTGCTCATCTTACAGCTTCAGAATAAAACACTAATGTGTGGAAGACATGCTCAATGTTAAACTCCAGCACGGTGTTTGGGGCAGAAGGGAACTGTACAAGTGTAACATCCGTGAGGAGAGATTTTTATAACTGAGAATGTAATAGGTCGAACACTTTGAAGCCTTTAAAAAACTATCCACATTTGACCAAATTCTGTCAATTACCAAGCATGTTTCAATTTCTTTGAAAAGTATAAAACCTGTGTACAAACCATGCAAAGATAATAATTTGGGATGATCCACTAGTTACTTCATTATTATATTGTTATTTTGAGACTGGATCTCACCGTGCGTACTTGACTGGTCTGGAACTCACTACAAAGACCAGGCTGGCCTCAAGTTTGCAGAGATCCTCCTGCCTGTTTCCCAGTGCTGAGATAAAAGGTGTGTGCCACAACGCCCAGCCCTGAGCACTTATTAATTCATATTATTACTTCCTTAAAATTCTATGATTTAAACAGACATATACTAAACTCTAAAAAGACTACTTGTTAAATGTTAGACAAAAAATAAATTCCTAAGAAGTGGTACTAAACTTTTTGACACACATACACAAAAATAGGTCTATGAAAATATGAACATTCACATCAAATAGAATGGAAGCATATGACTGGGTGAGTTATTGCTGTGCCATCCTATTAACAAAAGAAAAAAAAATTACAGGCCATACCACAACCAGCATAACAAGCTCTGATGTAGCCTCAGAAGCACAAATATAACCTTGGTACACACACGCTTGGAAAAATACCCACTGGTATAGGGAATTCTTTTTTAACTCAGCAGTTCTGACTGATAAAAGTCTAAACTGGAATGTTTTAGAAAGATACACATCAGCATTTGTTTTTACTTTAAGCATATAATTTCAAATGTGCAAATTTGCAATGTCCAAATATTATTCACTACAACCTCTTTGGGTAAAATTTTAGTGATAATGACTT